GTGACAAGCCAGCTAATCAACCAGCAAAGATACAGTGGAGATCTGCAAAAGATGTGATTGGTGTGAAAGGGGAGCCTGTTAGATTTATGTGTATCTTTAGTGGACAGTAAGTATTAATAAATGAATAACCAGTCATTTCAGAGAATTGGAAATTTTTGAAAATTGCATGTCACAATTACATACTAATCACTTTAAGCCAAAAATTAAATAATCTTTGTTTGGCGTTGCCGGCCGACGCAGGTAAATGGGTGCGGTTCAAAGAATTTTTTTCAACTGAGGTGGATTGTAATTTTTTTTTCGTTATATTAATCTGGATTTAGGTGTCTGTACGTTTGAGTATTATAAAAAATGGGAAAGAATCATGTAAAAGCTTGAATGATTGACCAGTTTTCATTTAAAAACGTCTTATGTGGTGTTGATTATGCGTATCACAAATCCAAGCATGGCTTTCAAAAGTGGTAATCAGAAGTTGATAACAGAAGTTGAAGGCATGACTCTCAGCAGTAATGTGTTTAAAAATGGCGAACATATACCGATGAAGCAGTTAATGTACAATGTACAAAAGTACAATGTCCTGTCCGATTTGCTAGACGAATTGAGCAGCCATGCTTGGATTCGTGCGGAAAAGCAGAAAATGACTTTATGCCAATTCAATGTCGGCAATTTTTATACCATGTATATTAAAGGTACATTTCTGAGATAAAAAAAAATTTCCCCTTCCTACCAACCCAAACGTAATAAGACTGAGTCGGCAACGCCAAACCAACAATATTTTAGTTGTGGTCTTGGGGCCCCGCTCAGGGGGCACCCTATAGTGATCAGTCTGTCCTCCATCCGTACGGCTAGCTGTCCATCTGTTCGTCCTAGATCTCTTTTCCGAAACATATCTTCTCTCTCCTTGGTCCAATCTGACTCGTACTTTACCCACAGAGTGCCTTTGGGTAAAGGGTGTGCAGTGACCTTGAAGCATGTCACTAGGTCTAAGGTTAAGGTTGTATTAGAATTTTATGAAAAAGGGTAGTGTTTTGAAAATTCTTAATTTGGTGCCCTTTTAGCTCACCTGAGCCTGCTAGCTTTTCTGAGTAAAATTTTTCTGTAATTTGTGTTTTGTTGTCGTTTTTGTCGTCTTTGTAAACATTTCACATTTTCATCTTCTTCTCAAGAACAGCTGGGCCAATTTTAACCAAACTTGCCAAAAAGTCAATTTTTACCAAACTTGCTGCAAAGGAATCAAATGAAGGGTCTTAACCTCTTCTAGTGGGAGATATCTGCAAATTCCTGAAAAAATCATGGCATCTTTTAAAAATCTTCTTCTCAAGAACCACTGTGCCAGAAAATATGAATTTTGTTTGGGAGCATCCTCAGGTAGTGTAAATTCATATTTGTGGAAATCATGACTCCCTTTGGTTTGGTGAGGCCACAATGGACAATTAAAGTTTTAGATAGGAAGATACACCTGTATAGGGAAAATCTGTAAAAATCTTCTTCTCAAGAACAGCAGAACCATGATTGGTCATTAGCTCACCTGAGCTAAAGGCTCTAATGAGGTTTTCTAATCACATTTTTTCCGGCGTCCATCTGTCTGTCCGTCTGTCTGTAAACTTTCCAGATTTTTTCACTTCTTGAAAACCACTGGACCAATTTCAACCAAACTTCTTGCCACAAAATATCCTTGAGTGTCAGAAGGGGATTCAAGTTTGTTAAAATCAAGGGCCTCACCCTCTTTCAAGGGAAGATAATTAAGAATTAGAAAAAAAATAATGGCATCTTTTAAAAATCTTCTTTTCAAGAACCACTGGGCCAGGAAAGATGAAACTTATGTGAAAAATCCTTAGGTATATTAGATTAGAGTTTGTTCAAATCATGACCCCCAGGGGTAGGACTATATTGGCCATACCATCAAAGTTTTGCACAGGAATATTTAGGAAAAATCTTGAAACATCTTCTTCTCAAGAATAGCAAAGCCATGATTAGTTGTACGAGGGTTGTTCGAATGTCATATGCTAACCAAATTTGGTAGAAATATTTTAAAAATAAATCTAAATGATTTGTATTAAAAAATTTTGATTATCATGATTTATTTCAAGCCGATCCAGAATTCAAAACTGCAAAAATCGGACTGCGGAGCAGGTCAAAATTTAGTAATTCACAAACAACACTCGAAAAAATACGACAATGTCTGTAGTCATATTCTCTGTAAAATGGAGCAAAAACAGGGAAAAAATCTTGACTTTTAAATTAAGAACTGTTATATTATTTCATATTCCAAATTATGGTTTAATATTTTGATTTGTTGAAAAGAAATCAATTTTGGGAGACAGGTAGTTCTCATTGAAAGCTACTAAAATGATGATGTTGTTGAACGTCATAGAGCAGCAGATATCAATTCAATTTTGTGATATATTAGGGGAAAATCCTGAGTAAACTCTAAAAATATTATAGGAATAAAAAAATTAAGTCACAATTAAGTGGTGCATGTGTTTATAAATGATGCAGGTGGTATTTGAGTGACAGAGACTCTGTATCAGACAACGACAAACTGTGAAGAAACAGTATATCTGATAAAATCTGTACAAAAACTTTAAAAATTTGGAACGTCATGAAATGACATGGGCGCTTCCGAGTTGCTGATCTTGTGAAAGCCCAGCTTAGTGGTAACAGAAATTAAAACAATGACAAAGGAAATAGCACAACAAGAACATGTGTTAGAAAAATGAATTTCAAATGCTAGAAAAAGGTTTTTAATAAGTGATTATTGAACTACGAGGGCTGTTCAATAAATAATGTCCTGAACTATATGACATACATTACAGATATCATATGACATTAAACTTGACTTTCTCTCATTATTGAATCTTTCATAAATTTATTACAGTTTATGTGACCACTTTTCATCACATAGTTTCATCGTGAGAAGCTGGGAAACAAGGGCTTTTCGAGACACTGCATTATAAATGAATGGTAAAGAATCATTAAACTAGAGTGAAAATAAAAGCTTCGTTAAAGCTGCCGTAAAACTTGTTAAAAATCCCAAAGAAATATTTACTGAAATATGTGACATTTACAGCAACCAATGCCTGTTTTATAGACAAAAGAGCAGGTGGATTTCAATGATAAAAATTATATAATGGACATAAAAAATGGGTACCCTCCTTGCCAACAAAAATTATAACAACTTATGTACTGTTCGCCAAATTTCAACAAATAATATTTGATGATGTATGATAGACTTTAAGACACAAAGCAAATTTGATAGACATCACATCGGGGGTAGTTTACACTGTATTTAAGAAACGTTTGACGGTATAAAAGCTTAGTACTCAAAGGTTACCCTATATTTTTGAAAAATGAGTGAAAACGACAGTGTTTACGAAAGTCTTAACAATTATTTTAAAATATCAGTAATTGTAGTTATCCACGTTTGTTTTATTTTCAAACAGATATCGAAACATAAATCTATTGCTTAAAACCCTAAAAACAAAATTTACCATAAGATAAACTTGATAAAAACGGCGAATGTCTGACAAGTGCACAGGTATGCAAGAGCACAAAGACAGATTTATATGTAATTTTCTTAAACATTAGTGGTATTGTTGTTCAAAATCGCATTCGGAGAGACAGTTTAATTTCTGGTTGAGTCTAGAAAGCACTTTTTTGGCCAAAAAATCAAAAGGTTTATTAGAGGAAGGACCCATAATCAGGAATCCACTACATTGAATTTCTTCAAGACAGCGTCCAAGCCCGCATGCCCTGAAGAGTAAAGGGGTTTTCGGGATAAACAGAGACTTAATATTTTTTCACATTAACAATATTCGCCAGATCTTTGACCTTTTGACTTGTTTCTATTTCCAAACTTGGAAAAAACACCTTTCGGAAGGAAGAAACAAGTTCGGGAAATCATTGCATCTGCCATTTTCCAGTATACTAAGGGTCATACCCAAAAATGAGTTCTACAACCGATCAGAAATTGGATAAAAATGTTACGGACATGTATTTTACTTAAAAGAGATTAATTAGTAAAATCATGAAGAATAAATCATTGAAAAGCGTCTTTTGCTTCTTTCTGAACACCGAGGACATTATTTATTGAACAGCCCTCGTAAACTGTTGAAGTGTATAGGAATAGTATTTTTAAGAAATTCTTAACACTATGTTTTTGACATTACATTGCCGTTAAGTATGCTAAGCGAGTACAAAACATGTTGATTTGAAAATGAAGTAAATTGATTTCTATTTAATCGAATGAAATGAAACTTCACACATTAACAAAACAAATATTTTTACATATGATATTGAGCTTACTTTAAATTTCTTGAAAGTTGTATAACGAAGATTGACATTGTCCACGAACTTTTCGAATAACCTTCGTATTTATACAGTATCCTCAGGTAGAGTAGATTCAAGATTATTTTAGTCATGACCCCCGGTGGAAGGGTGAGGACACAATGGATGGTCAAAGTTTTTAACTTACTAGGTGTATATAGGGAAACTCTTTAAAAATCTTCTGATGAGAACCAGATAAGTCATGATTGGTCATATATTTATATAGAAGCATCCTCAGGTAGTGTAGATTCATAATTGTACAAATCATGGTCCCTAATGTAAGGTGGGGCCGCAATGGGCGATCCAAGTTTAATATAGATATCATTAACAATCATCTTCATGAGCAAAGTCATGATTAGTCATATTTATATGGAAGTATCCTCAGGTAGAGTAGATTCAAATTTGTTCAAATCATGACCCCTGGGGTTAGGGCGGGGCCACAGTGGATGACCAAAGTTTTACATATGAATATATAGGAAAGATCTTCTCAACATACTCAAGAACAGCAAAGTCATGAATTGCTATCTGGTTTCGTCCGTCATCGTGCGTTTTGTGTCATGTGTTAACATTTGAACATTTTTTGCTTCTTCTCTGCAACCACTCAACCAATTTCCACCAAATTTGGCATAAAACATCTAGGGGTGAAAGGGAACAAAAATTGTGAATTTCATGGTCCCTGCCCCTCTGGGGCCTAAAGAGTGGGGCCAAAAGCACTAAAATTAATGCAGTCTTTAAAAATCTTCTTCTTTACTCATAGAGATGAAGCAGTCATACTCTTTGGAT